CAAAATCCTCGAATCCGGGGGAAGCCACGAGGATCAACACAACGTGCGGCGCCACTTCGCATGCCGCCGAGGCAAACAGTGGTGCCTTCACTCCAAGTTTGCGATGCTGAGAGGCATCGCGCTGCAGCGCCCGGCTTAGCGGGGCGCAACTGTACCATCTTCCACCCAACCAGGGAAAGAATTGGTGCACTGTTTGATCGCCTTTTTTCTTTGCTTTGCTGTTCTGTCTTTCCGCGACCGTTCTCTCACCTTGTGACCTTACCCGCTTGATTCCGCTCACCAGCTTGTGGTTCGAACATTTCCTTTTCCCCCGTGTTTTCTCATGGCTTTCCAACCCCCTCGAGGTTTGGTTACGGCGCTCCAAAGGCAAAACTTACCACCGCAGCCTTCGCCCACGGCATCCCATCATCATGGCATCGTGTACGGCAACAACATGGCCGGGAAATGGTGCGGGGCCCTGTCCGGGCCTTCCTACGGATGCTCTTCCACGGCATCGGCACCGCCAGCTACACATCCGACTCCCTGTCAGACCTACGGCCAACCTATTCCCCGTTACCCACCACACCCCGGCCCTCGTCCACCCTCCTTTGGCGGCTCTCTCCCCCCCCCTCCCGGCGGCAACCCCTTTCCCCCCCTCCCCCCGGCCCCTTCTCCCGCCCTCCCCCTTCCCCCTCCCCCTCCACCGCCTCGCAATCCAAACCTCCCCCGGCCCTTCGACCCATCCACTCAGTCCCAACACCAACCGAGTTCAACCCTGGCGACGATCACTACGACACCACCCGCGTCGCGGGGTACGACCTGCCCAAGGTCATAACGCACACCGCGTTTACTCGGCAAATGGGCATTGAGGGACAAGACATCGCTCGCGTCCCCCTCCTCCACTTCATGCACGAACAGTGGAACAGTTGGTGGTTGCGTCACCTCGCCCACGGAGGCGAAGTCCGCATCGTTGTCGCAAAGTCGATGCCGGAATCAGTGTTTGCTGCTGGACTACTCAGCCTAATCCGACAACGGCACCTCGACCTGGACGCCCTCGCCCTCCATGTCGCCACGCAGGAGGGCGCCTCGACCACCAAACCAGCAGCCATGAAGCTACTCACCACCAAGATCTTCGACTTCCTCATCTCCCTCCGACCCACCACTACGGCCGATCCGGCCTCCGCGGCCACCATACTCCAGCTTCAGCAACAGCTTGCTGACGCACACAACCAACTCGCCCAGCAGGCTTCATCCCCCCCCCTCCTCCCCCCCACACCCACCTCATCCAACAAACGCCCAGCCGATCCATCTCAGGCCTCCCTCCTGGACTTCGGCATGAAGCGACCACGGCTGACTACACCTGACACATCACCGCAGGACGGATCCCCCGCCCTACCCCTGCCCACTCGCATTGCAGACGACTCCCAACCCCCCCCGGCTCCCCCCACCCACGGCGGCAACCCTCCAGCCCCCTCCACCCACGGCGGCACCCCGACCCCTCCCCCCTCCCCTCCCCACCCACTTGGAAGGAGCCCCGCGACTTGCTCCAACCACCTCCCCACGTTTGCCAATGGCTCACCAACAACTTCCCACCCGACCTTTCCGACACCAAAGTCCAGCGATGGATCACCTCCCAGAAAACCAGCAAAGAGAGCAAGCAAGTCCTAAAAAGCTGGTCCAACGACTGCGCAAAATGGGCAACCACACTGGACTCCGACACCAGAGCCCAACTCGAACGAGCAGCTGTGCTATGGGGCATCCCGGTGCGAACCCTATCAAAACTGGGGTCATCGGCCTTGGGCCGCATCCTGGCCGCTGCGAGTCACTTCTACCAGTGACTCTCAACAGCACACCGACAACGACGCACAGCCAGGCAGCACAAATTTTGGCCACACCACTGCTGCCAACTTCTCACTGTCCTCCGTTTCACTCTTCGGTTCTTCCCAACCGATGACGTCACCGCACGTCATTCTTGCTCCTGGCTACTCGCACAGCTTCAGCTACTTGACGTCTGCCATCTCTCCTGTGGTTCCGGCAGACTGAAAGCCCTGCTTACTCGACTTGGCCTGGACAACCCTGCTTCCGATTTCTCTTCTCAGCTTGTCCCTTCAGCGGTTTATCTCAGATTCACCAGCCATCCAAAGTGGCAGGCCTTTTTCTACCTCGGAGCCACTCGCGCCTCCCTCATGGCACGGGGCCGCAGCCAACTTCGCAAACTACTCCAAGTTCAGCGACGTCATCTGGTCAATGCCGAACTGGCAGTCCGGTGGTGGGCACATTTTGACTTTTTCCACCACTACACCTCGGTGCCCATTCACACTGTCGTTCCGGCAACGGACCTATTTGCCACTGAACAGTTCTACATCCAGGAACTGCAACCGTCTCTCAATTTTGGCTTCATCGAGAGACATTTCCGGCCACGCACGGGCTTCACACGCCAATTGGACTTCTCCCAATCCCGGCTCATGGGCTTCGCCACCATCTGGCGAAAACGCCGCCGACTACGACTACCCATCGCCCTACAACAGGCCTTCCTGGCCAAACGCGTGGACAACCGCCTGGATTTGTGGCGATTTTTGGGCGATCTTGGCAGCAACACTCTACGACGATTTGATGCCATCCGTTACATACGGACCAGAGACTTCCCACCCGCCGCTCTCTATGTCCTTCATCGCATAGCCACACACCTGCCTGAACCACACCACCAGGCATGCCTTTCCGCCATTCGATCCAGCTTACGATTCCGGGGCCTCATTCCACCTGGCCCCTCCAGACCGATGCTTGCACCCTTCCTCGCCTGGCGACTACTGCTAACCTGGTACCGACAACGACAACCACACTCCTCTACCACACACCTCACAGTGGACACACTTGACACCTCTGCCATCACCCGCGTCTACAACGGACGCCGTCGCCGACACAAACCCACACAACGCAACCTGTGGCTCGACGACATCCCCGAGATCATTCAGGCCACCCTTGACATGCAGATCTTCTCTGTCGGCCTTCGTTCATTCAGGCAAACACGTGGGGCAACGATGGGATCCCCCGCGTCCCCAGCTCTCTGTTTGATGGTGATCGCGGTCGCCGAACAATGTTGGACCAACACTCACATCACATCGGGACTTCGCTCCGTTGAAGATACTCTCCTACTCCGCTACGTGGACAACAGACTCGTGATCGCAACCCCCAGGTGGCTCTCGACTCCGGCAGCCAACATACTGTGCGACGAACACTTCTATGGAGGAGACATCTCCCTGGACACAGAAGCCGCCCTGGACTTCTTGGGGTTCCGACTGAACCTCACAAGCAGCACCATCTCCTTCATCCCCTCGCATGAGAAGCACAACATGCTCTCCGTCAAGTCAGCCGCACCACTGATGCATAAGGAATCTGGATGTTATTCCGGACGCACGCTGATCAACCGAGTTTCCTTTCCTGAGTTTCAGCGAGGTCAGGGTCTTGCAATGTTGAAGAGGTTGCACCTCCAACACGGTTTCACCTTACATAGAGAAGAAAAACCGTCCTTTGCGGAACCACACTGGTTTTCTTCTCTGCCTTTGCATCCTGACAGATTTGACCTGATTTTCGCGCCGCAGCTGTTTGACTGTTTGACCAAAATCCGTTGCGAGCATGGATACCAACACAGCACGCCAGCTGCTCCAAGACTTTGAACTCATCCTTGGCAGTGCCCAACAAGGCATCGCCACCATCCGCGAGTTCCCTGAGAGACCGCCTGCCGAACCTGATTTGGCACCGGAGGCCACGCTCAACCCCGCCATTGAGGACCTCTTTGAGCCACCTCCTGATGCTCCAGATGAACACCTTCCCACTGATCATGACGAACAATTCCCTGATCATTGGGCTCCGCCCACCCCTCCTCCGTCTTCTCCCGGCGAAAAACGAGCTCGCTGCGCACGTGATTTGGCCTCCTCACGATCTACGGCATCCAAAACCTGCTCGTGGACCAAGCGAAGCTACCACATCGACCAGGACTGATGCCTCTACTGAGGCCGAACCTGAAGCCTCGCAGCCTTGGACTGAGGGAGAGATTGAACTCCTCCGTTCCCTTAAGACCAATCCAAAGCCAAGTATGTGTGGTCAGTCATCGCCACAAGACTTTCTCGCAAAATTGATGCTTGCAAGACTCAATGGGCCTTGCACAAGTGATGTCGCCCCAGTTGGGGCTCCGTGTGTGTGAAGCGTCCTGGAGCACTGACGGAAATTCCACATTGCAGGGGGACTGGAGCCGATTTGCCTATCCAGTCCAATGAAGCTAGGCATTCGAGTGGATACCGGATATGATCTATCCGGCGTACATGGCATATTTACTGTCCCTCTTTCATGATTCTTTTGCGTGGTTTCTGTTTTTGTCGATGTTGCTTTCATGTTCGGTTGTCGTTGTTGTGACATGTTGATTTGCGTTTGCATTCAAAGCATTTTTTATTGACTGCGTTTTTTTTTCTTCTCAGGCTAGTGAAGCCTCTCGAGTGTGCTGTGTGTGCTGGGGGTGCTGTGTGTGTTGTGGGGCTTAGGTGTTTGTCTGTGTTGTGTGTGTGTGTGTGTGCGTGCGTGCTTGCGTGCCTTCGTGCGTGCGTGCGTGCGTACGTGGGTGCTTGTGTGTGTGTGTGCGTTTCTTTTGACAGGCTACCCTTTCTGTCGCAGTTGCTTCAAGGGAAACCAGAGCACAGCCACCCATTTTGAGTGTCTTCCTAGAAACAAACCGTCATCGAGAAGAACTGACAAGAGAAGCATTGTATCTTCTGAGTTTAGCCTGTTCGCTGTTTACGTACATATGTATGACCATATTACATATATATATATATATATAAATATCTTATGTATGTCCCTTTGTATTAAACGTTGAATTAGTCTTTGCCTAGCGCCTTCTTATTTTGAGATTCGTCACCATGCCTCCACTCTTCATCGTGCATTTCTATAGTTCTATGCAGTGGAGGCATGAAATGATGACGAGAAGATGATAAAAGGATACGGCACATCCCCTTTTCTTTCCCAGCCGCGCACTCATAGAGCCCACTCTCCCGGCGAGTGCTCTCCACTGTTGCCACCCGCCACAGCGCCCGCGCCTCCAAGGTAACGGGTCAACCATTGAAAAGGAAACAAGAAAGCTCACTCCAGTTTACTCGGTTGCTTTCCCCTGCTAAAAGTTTAACTTTTAGTGGTTTAATGGAAATCCCATTAGTTGGCAAAAAGTTAAAGTCCAAACATCCAAGCAAAATGCACCAAAGTTTACATGTAAACCTACTGACTGGGGCCTAAACTATCTTGCAACCACACAGGTGAAATGGGGAAGGTGCATGGCCATTCCAGAGATTTGCTGGGGGGTTGGGCATCTGTACATACTAGCGTACGTTTATACTATGCACATGCTTCTACATTGTACTTAGTGCTACCAGTACCATATATATATATATATTAATGTTCATGGATACATGGCAACTCATGCAGTGTTCCTTTGGCAATGTTGGGGGGGGGGGGAGAGCAAACCGTTTCAACTTTGTTTGAAACTGGCTTAACCTTCGTTCTGGCACAGACCAGGAGACCAAACTGGTGCAACAATGTTGATCGTCATGTTGGAAGAGACTGGGGCTCGCGCCCAGCAGTTGATCCCAGAAGCGGTTAAAATTGTTGAAACGATTGAACAAGTTTGGGGGGGCTAGTAGCCTTACTGTACCAGAGGGGTGTTCTGCGGTGAGCTGCCCACCTCTTCATGTACTCAACTTCCAAACCCCAAAACGTCTTGCCTCCCACCCAGTCACTGTCATGTAATGAATCAAACAGAGCGGGAGCTTCCTCTAAAGATGATGGTTTGTTTGGGTGCCATGTTAACCTGCAGAAGAGTACCCACGCTTTCATTTCAACCCCAAAAAGGTAGCATCCCACAAAAGGCAGGCTCATACGAATCCCCGGTATGAACTCAAAGTGAATTGGCTTGCACACCACATCTTGCTGATTGAACCTCGCTTCGCAGTTTCAGTCATGGCGCCTCCGGGGGCCAAATGCTGCTCAGCTGTTGTGCCTCCGGCGTGTTTGCGCGGATCTGCTGCGGTGTGGAGATCCTCAGGTGAGTCGGGTAAGCAGAGCTTCACTGATGCTGAGCCAGGAAAACGCAAGAGAGTGCAAACAGGATGAGTCGTGACAATCTTCTTTGGCCCACAAAGCCGAACCTGAAGCAACAGCTTGCCTAAGGAAGCAGTCATGAATCTTCAACCTTTCTGATCCCGCTTCGTGAGAAAAGCAATAGCCACACCAGCCGTTTTCAACAAAAAACCTTGGCTGGGATTCCATCCTTTGCTAGCTGATCAGCTTAGTGGCACAAACTTGGACCATGCCTGAAGACACCACCTTTGCTCCGAAAACATCCGAACACCTGTGGCGAATGTGTGATTTAAATTCTGAAGTTGCTAACATTGGCATGTCTTAAAGAAACAGTCTAAATAAGAATGCGCGTGTATAATACAACTCTTCAATTCTCGCAACAGGCAAGCAAGACACAATTAACTATCCGCTGCTGCTGCTACTCCACTACGACTAATCTTGGCTAACATCTGGGGTACACAGAAAATCACACGGTGCTGTCTCTGTTCCAAATTTAATCTACCCTAAGACACAACATAAGGTTCAAGGAGACCCCAGCAATGGCATTCACCCCAACACTAACAAAATAAATCGGCGCCAGGTCAGGCAAGGCGCACCACGAGCACATGGCCCATGAAGCCCCCAGCGTTGCCAATGTCTGAGATGCGGCCAGAGCCCCGCATCAGCAGCACGTCACCTACACAGACCGTCGCCCCAAAACGATGAAATCGGCTTCATAGAGCCTGAGAACCACCGAAAACCTCAACCATTTGCCCATGCTGTAGGTACTCCTGGTATATACTCTGCATATACCTGCTGGCTTTGTAAGTCTATAGATGTGTGTGTGTGTGTTCTGTGCGAGAGTTGTATCCGGGGCGCCTGCGCCAAGGACACACGGTTGAGCCCTCAGAGACAAGGGGACTTGTTCCATGTACAATATGACCAACAGGTTGTCATCGTGTTTCGCCTGCTGATTTTGTCCCAAATGAGGCCAAGCAGCCGGGAAAGGGAGGGTCAAACAAGGGCTGTTGCTGATCAAGTTGTTTGCCGCTCGCAAACATCAATTTGGGTATGGACTTGGTTGGAGACCCCTAGGCGGACATCACTTACATGGGGAGTTGTCCAACAACCATTTAGAAGCGCTTTCCCCATTACTCTTAAAGATGGCGATGTCACCAAGATCGGTCCTCAAAGCGGGTATGTTCGCTTCACCCCTAGGTGCGCAGAAGTGGTCCACACGAGTACCGCGGCGCCCGCTGCCCGCCCACCCGCGCCTGGGCACATGAGCAGGTCCAGCGCGTCGCCATTTAAGGAGAGCTCCATCCGTGACTCCGGTGCTGGGATGAACTGAGTCATTTGCCTCGGATCCAGGCGACCTGGGAATAACCTAACTGGGGGTCCTCCCAAAAAGTGCAGACTCCCCTCACACATCAGACACATATTGATCAACCATTTATTATTCATTCCTGGGTTCCTTTTCCCTCCGGATCCACTACACATGACGTTGTTGGGAGATGCAACAAGCCAGCAGGCAGATCATTTGGACCACAGGAGTGTCGGCGGTGATCCCTGCTTGTTCGTTTTCTTGGCCAATGTGCCGATGCAAGGAGACGATCAAATCATCTTGAAAGCACATGGCACGCTCCGAGGGGCATCTGCTGCATTGGCTGCCCATTCGGCCCATTCGGCGTCCCTTGTGGCTGCCCCTGTGGTTGCGGCTGCTGCCTTGGAGCGCAAGCGCGCATGCCCACAAACCGACGCAAAGCCCCTAACCTCTGTTCCAACGCCATTTGCAATAGCATGTCTATGCTGAGAATATTCAGGCTGTTCAGCACCAGTTCATGGGCATGCAGCCTCTCTTTCAACAAACTCAAACCGTGGAACCTACGCATTCAGATATTATGGATCTGGGCTCGGCCCAGCATCCCCTAGCACTCGAGCTTGCGCGGTCTGTGGCCGAAAGCCACATGCTGTCTCTCTCTCACACCAACCCAATGTGCGCTGGATGCTGTGCAAAGCCCACAATGTGTGGAGGATATGTGGTCGTTCCCAAATGTGTGTTTTCCTGCTGATGTTCTTTGTTGCTGGCCCTGCGCCCTGTCCCGCTGAGGGAGGCTAGTGGCTCGTGAACTGTGAGGCCTCGACGGAACATCACAAACAATTTCCAGAATGCCCAAATCCCTGTCACAGAGCTCACAACCATCCGAATGTTCAACATTTAAAGCGGGTGTCTCACCTCGCACGCAAGAACATAGGTTCTAAAAATTCGACCCGTCAGTATCACTTCAGCCGGGACAAAGGCAGGTGGAACCTATTCTGCAAACTGACGATGATGCAGCTACTTCACAATGCCCACCCTCTACCCTTTCATAGTAAATCGCAAGGCAAACGTGACGGCGTGAGCGAATCACTAGCCAACAACGACACAAAACATCGGCAAAAGTAACGTAATAGTATTAACGGGAACAGGCATGAAAAAAAACACAACCACAACAACAACAACCACAACCACAAACACAACAACAATAGCAGCAACAATAGCAGCAACAACAACAGCAGCAGCAACAAGAACAAGAACACCAACACCATCACCAGCACCAGCAGCAGCAGCAACAGCAACAAGCACAAGGACAGGAACAAGGACAAGATAATAATAACAGTAATAGCAGCAGCGCAACAAAAACAAAAACAGGCTCTAGCTGTTCCACATCACCCCAAATCTACCATCCACTCACGCTCGCCAAAAGGCATGAGCTGTGTGGCGGAGAGTCGTCGCGGCATGCCTTGGCCTTCTATCACCTTCCTGGCGCGTGAGCGAAGGAGGCTTGTCTTTGGACCCCACAAAAAAAACAACAACGTCATTTCGGAATACAACAAGACCCCACTATTCTAAAAAAGAAAAAGGTTTGGGGTTGAACAAGAAAACAAGGCTCCGCCTGAGCGTGATTGTAGGGACTTAGATTGCTAGCCACTTGCTCGGTGCCCTGCCCCTGGAGGTAGGGAGCCCAGATTCCCCTCGGCACTCGGTCAGTCATTTGGACGGTTTGGCATGAGTTTCTGAGCTTCTCCACCAAAGAACTTCCAGCACGGCAGCCTCTGAATCTTCGATTTTTTACAAAACCTTTCTCTTGGTTCATCAATCCCTTCTGACTTGACGGCGACCTTTTGCGGCGCCAGCAAGTATTGGAGGAACAGCTCCTGCTCAGAACATGCGGGTGCTTGCAGGCAATAAAATATTCAGAGCACCATGATCTAGAACCACGGGCTCCATGCTAAAGCCCAACTCCCGGCTAGCCCCACCCAGAGCTGCCCCCAACCCCACCCCAAAACGGCCTCCTGGGGGACAGAAACTCCTCCGCCGCCTGCTCCGCCACTCTGCCCGCCGATAGTTGTCGCACCGCCGCGTTGTGTGCCGCGTGCGCCGCAGCTGCGGCCACCGCGTTGGCTGCCGCCTGTTCGATTCAACCCGGAGCCCATAGCTCTATCACTGCCTCGAGTCAATTGGCGCCTTATCCAACGGAAGTTGACAGCTGCCCACCTTGTGTTGAAACCTCTTGTTGGTCCTCCTACCTCGGCTTTTGGCCCTGAACACAACCAATCTTCGAGTCTGGCGCATATGAAGTGAACCCCCAAAACGCCGAGACACCCCCCCTCCCCCCCAACAAAAAACCAAAAAACCAAAAACAACAACCGGGCGGGCGGGGGGGGGGGGGGGAAAACAACAACAAGGTCCAAGGTATCAAAGCCACGTGCCCAACTCCCCGCCTGCGGCGCCGCCAGGGTCCGTGTGGGCGGTGGCCCCGGGCTGCGCGCCCCGGTGGAGGCGGCGCGGTGCACCGCGGACTCGCGGCTCTCGGAGGCGGTGCCTGGGCGCCGCAACGCAAAGGGGCGCGAGTCAGCCACTCAGATGGAGCCATTTGGTGGGGGGGGGGGGCTCAAAATAAGTGAAGGGGTCCATCCATTTGGTGGGGGGGTACAAAACAAGTGAATGGGCTCCATTTACTTCCACTCATTTGGTGGGGGGGGGGGGCTTAAAGCAAGAGAAGTAACGGGATTCTCCCTAAGTTGCTCTTGGGGGCTGTTCTTTTGATGTCAGTTTGATGGACAAAGGAAAATGTCCAGGAAGCGGAAATCAAATCAAAGTGCGGAAGTTGGCCAAACACCCACAGCCATGTGCTTCTTTGGGATGCCAAAGGTCACGTCAAAGCAACCAGGGTGATGGTCAAAACTATCAACAAGTAAACAATAGAGAAAAGGATGGAAATGGTAATGGACAGCGAGGATTTAATTACGTAGATGTCCGAGGCGGGAAACACTTTTACAACCTCACCCCCAACTGCCCCCAAACTAACAACAATAGCCAAAATGGGCAAAATGGGAAACAGTCCATTTTAGACGGTCTGGGAGTCAACAAAGTGCTTAGCAGCCGGCAGTAAAACCCCACTGAACGCCAGCCCCCCCCCAAAACCCCCCCGCCCGCCCAAACAAGCTAAGCAGGGCTTGCTGGGTCAACCATAAGGGACCCTGACCCAACTCAACTTGTTTCAATTGCCCCAAAAGGGCATGTGTAAAGCAACCAAAATTAAATTTAGGGAACCCTGGCCAAGGCTGATGAGGCTGGGAGGTTGAGTTCTGGTCTCTATCTCTCGAATCCGATGCAACCAAACAAAACATGGGCCGCAGCTCGAGAAAAAGGAACATTCGGGGGTGATTGTTCTGCAAGTATCTCGCCCCCTGCGACTTTACAGCATGAGCAGGAACATTGCCATGCTGCCTGCCCCGTCTCAATCGCTGCAGATAGCACAGTAAGAATCCGGCAAAACTCACGTCTGCACTGTGCTACGATGCTAGTCATTCAGTCCGCTTGCCTGATATGACAGGAGCATGCCGGTCAAATTTCTGTGCAGCTTGCAACACCCCCTAAGCCATTCTTTCCCGCCAGGCTGCGCCCGAACTGCAGCATCGAAGCCGTGCGCACTTCCTGTCCGGAGGAGGTGCGCCCAACCATCACGGGGGATCGTCCAGCGGCCGCGTTGCCGTCGGAAGCTTCGCGCGAGACAGCCTGTGCAGAGGATGGAACTCCAGGACTCAACAGCATACGCAATCCCAAACGGCCAGTGCTCCGAAAGAAGTACGAGTGGGTTGATGATTCGTATTCAGTCTACATAAGCAAGAAGCCATGGCTTGGAAGCGTTTGGAGGCCAATGGCTATCACCTACGTGTGGCTCAACAGCTTCTTCTGCTTGCAATACCTGAGGTTTTGTCCAAATACAATCTATAGAATCATCTCAGCCTGTGACACGGTCGAAGATAAATATCCTGAAACTGAGAGACTAGTATAGCCACAAGCCAGCAAATGAGAGGCTGTCTCGTATATTCAAGCTGCTTCAGAACCAGGTGGCACAGTGCTCCCGCTGCCAGCTGCCCTACATCTGTTGCCCGCCTTCTCAGCTGATACTGGCGACACAGCTGATGCCGGCGACGCTGGAGACAGCGGCGACGCTGGAGACAGCGGCGCCCTGAGAACACGTGACACATACGCATGGCCGGCAACTTTTTTGTACCACTCCCCCGCCATCCTCCACCCAAAGCACCGCGGCATCGACTCTAGCACCCATCATACTGCGCATGGACAAAATCCTGCACCAGTTGAGATAGATAAAGCCCTACGAAAACAAGGCTAAACCAGCGATCCTGGCGTGGGTTTGTCCCATCCACTGCAATGTCTATGGGTGTTGTTTTACATAGGAAGGAAAACCAAAAGGCAAACCTCAATCCATGTTTGCGGGTTCCCCAAAAAGACAACCCCCTTCCTTGGGACTACGCTGACTGCAATATATGGTGCAAGCAACAAACAGAATTAACTCCGGCCAGTGGTCCATATCCGATCCCCTGGATTCCAGCAGCTCCCAGCTGCAGCCAGTCTCAACCCGAACTTGATCGAGGTCCTACAAATGTCCAAGACCCCTGAACAACCCTTTCATCCTCGGACAGCTTTTGGCCTTGGTTTGATTGCTGAATCCCTGATTCATCTGTACTCTCTGCACCCATCCGCATTCCAAGGTGGGAGGTTGTGTTTGCAGGGCATCAACTGCACAAGCTCCTACTAACTGCATGAGCCGGAACAGACTGCCAGGCGTCCGGCCCAGGCACACGGTTGTTGTAAACACCACGTGGCCATGGAGATGTCCCGACAGTTGTGACCGTTTTTCTGCAAGGTTTTGCACGCATCCCCAGGACTTCCAACCAGGGCACTCTGGACTCTCATTTCCTCGCCCCTGTTCAGCACTGGCTTTATCTGGCTTAGCATGCAAAGTGGCAGCTCCAGCAGCCCGGTAAAAGCTCGGGCCCCCCGGCGGCGGCGCTGTATCGCGCCTGGAGGCTTTGTGTAACTACCCAGGGTCCTTGCGCCCTCGTGAAACCAGTTTCATACCAAATGCGTCTCCAAAATCGGGGTTGTCTGGTCCAGTTCCACTGCGAGTGGCTCAGGCAACACAAGTTCCGTTCACCTGGATGTGTGCTTGAAGTTCAAGTTGTTCCTCTCTTGAAACAGGCTGAGTCCAGGCAAAAAAAGGTGTACATCCCCCGTCAGTCGTGGCTGGTGCTTATAGATGAGTCAGATGAGAAAACGACCTCGCCGCCCGTCCCAGCGCTGTGGAGGCAACAAATCATGCAAAACTCCCTCCCGTTTTCCACCAGCTGCACTGCTTCTGCAACATGACCTCGCAAGCCTCACATGAACATCCTAAAGTTTTCGAAGGGTAGGACTCCACTCCTGGACTGACAATCTTGAGTGGAACAGAATATGGGGCGCTTCAACTGTGGGTTGTCCTAAACTAGGCTTAAGCCACATGCACACAGTAGAAGTGTCTGGAGATGGGGATGAAGGTCATCTGACTCCAAAACATCGAGTACGACAATGGTGCGTGTCCTAGATCCGAGCGAGGCATCCATGGCCCCGGGCAGCTTTTCCAGCTGTCCTGGCGCATGGGACAGCAACAAGCCTCGCTTTGTAGTGCCCTAAAAATGGCATCTGGGCTTCTTAGAAGGAAACAAACGCCAAAGTCTTTGTGCGGCTGTTTGCGAGGGAAAGAAAATGAAAGCTAGCCAGTTTTGGAGTGTCCCTAGTTTCGAGGCAAACCTTTGTTGAAACCACGCAAAGAGGCGGCCCTGTTCTCAAACTGTGACTATGCCAATTTGGGTGAGTCCTGCAGGGGACCATCTGAGGGCGGTCCTTTTGCGGCAGCTGGGGCGGGGGGTGCATTCCAACAGCTGGGCCCTTCTTCTTGTCGCCTTGCCAAGTACCAAGCTTGGCCAGGCCAAGAATCGGCCTGTACCATTCCTGAAACGCCAATTTAATCACGGAGGAGGCTGCTTGGGGCAGTACCTTCAGCGACCTGCAGTAGCCACTCATTGGTGGATTTGCGTGCAAAGCAAGAAAGTCCAGCTGAGGGGGAGAACAACGAAGAAGGCTTGCACCTTAACATGCTGGCAGCAAACGAGTGTTCAAACCACGCTGAACACCCGCTCAACTTCGATGTGTCCAAACTATGGTCCCTAACAAATGTCTCATTGTTGGGGAGCCCAAAAATGAATGCAATGGCTTGTCTGTGACTTTCCGTTCAAACAGTCCTGAAAAAGGGTACCCTCACGCAGCGTGCCTGAGACGCAATTCAATATTCCACAATTTTCTTGTACTCTTCTGGTGGGTGTATCCAATAGGATGCACATAACCCTGTACCTCTGCACAATCACCTGTCTGGGGATTCGGGTATGCCTCAGAACACCCGCCAAACATAGAATTTTCGGCTTTCCTTTGGTAACAAATAACAAATCCGTCGACCCCTCCCGCTCTTAGCCCACTCACACCCAGGAGGGGACCAGCTACAACTATGAAACATGCGTCCTGGGGGAGAAACCTCATTTATGGAAAAAGTGGATTTGCAAGTCCTGCCCCAGGGCAAGAAGGGGTCTTCGCCCTGCCCCGGGCTGGCCCTAGGGCTGGCCCGGGCTTTTGTCCAAGTGTGGCCCTTCCAACTGGCCCTGAACTTGCCCCAAGACTTGCCCTGGGTAAGGTCTAGGGCTCGCCAAGGCTTGCCCCAGACATGAGGGTGGCGCACTAGGCTGTCCCAAAACATATGTTTTCTTGACATTTCGAAAGCGCATCTGCGGTCAAGAAAACTCGACGGCGCCTCTTTTCCAGACCGCGTCGGGAAAACGGTACGGTTTGGAAGGAATCCCCCCCTTGCCCCAGGACTTACATGTTCGGCATCACCAGCATCACCAGCACCACCACACGAAGCCAAGATCTTGCAACCGTTGTTTTCTTGACTGCAGAGGCGCCTCAAACCGGTCGAGCAAACTCGGATGAGGGGTCGGCGGCAGTCAGGCGTCCGCCTGGTAAAGGTTTTCCCCTTAAACTAACATGGCCATGGGTCAAAGCCCCGTACCCGGAGTGAACATCCCAATCCCCACTAAAATGGGTTCTAAAATGAGTGGTGCACCTATCCCAAAACGGCACCATTGGTTTTGACCCACAGCCACATGAAAAGGGGCACTCTCAACGACGCCTTGCGCACGGCGCCTGGCGTGGAGCCCAAAGGTGGCACGAGGCTGGGCAGCTGCGAGCGACCTGGGAGAAGCGACTAGCCACGGACATGGGAATGTCCAGTGAAAGCTTTGGACATCTGTTTGCCCCCCTTGAACAAATCCATTCACATGTTGGCCCAAAAAGGAGGGTTGTTTGAGAGTCCGGGTACGTGAGTGAAATCTCCACCACCGCATGTATTCCCGACTGACAGACATTCGTGGCCACGTTGCATGGGTTCGCCTGCCACTGGGATGCACATCCAAAGTGGCCGGTTCCTCTTGGCCTCCCTAGCAGCCGCAAAGGGCACTGACCCGCCACAAGTCGTCAGACCAATTCAGGACTTGTGGAGTGCAACAACACACAAGCCCCTATCTGCTCATATTGACAAAACATGACTGGAAACAAGCTGTGAGCAACATGTTTCAGGGATCATGCTGGGGCATTTGAGCGACCTACATGTCTTGCTGGAAAGCCCTTGCTCTCACCTGGTATCCCCCAAGCATGCCCTTATTTTCTGCCGCTCCCTCACACATGCCGCAATCTTTTGTGTTTAAAGGGTGAGCCACGTGCGCAAGTTGCATCTGCGCGACCAATCCTTCCGAAACGGCAATGGACTTGGTGGAAGCAGCTCTGACGCAGCGAATGGTCCCCCAATCACACTATGTGAGGCACAGTGAAAATTACTTACTTGCGGCCGTTTCGCTACTTAGTTTGAGAGATCGTTTTCCAGCGTTTCCATCGTTACTAAACTAAAAAGATGTAATTTTGACGGTACTTCATGTCAGGAAACCAACGGGCTTACAGGCTTCTTGACACATCACTCAGAACGGACAATCACCAAGGCCTTGACAAATGCTTTCTCGCAGCTTGTCCCCACGTGCAGCCTGACACGTGGCAGAGGCGGCTTGGAATGCGAAACATTCGCCGAGTTCAAGAAATGTCCTCCGGGCAAGCTTGCTTCAAACGGAGCATGGTAAGGGCTGACCCTCTTCTTCCCTTGCCTAGGTGTGTCTCAAGATTTCAGGACACTCACATTGTTGGTTTCAGTTCAGTGTTCCCTCCCATCTAAAACTGGGTTGCCCCAATTGGGCGGAATCCTCACACGTAGTGCGTATTTGAACACCACTACAAAAAGCGAAGCCACAACCACGTTCTATATCCGCCGACATTGCTCGGCGTGTCGGATACTTACTAGAGGATAGAGGATAACCCCCCCCCTAACCCCCCCCGCCCGACGTCTATTACGTAGGTTTTTTTTGGGGGGGGGGTCCCCCACGTACCGCGCGGCAATTTGATGACGTTCCACTAAACGTAGTCTTCGGGGAGCCGGTGTCGCAAAACAGGGGTCCCAGGCTCGATTCCCCCTGCCGGCTTTTTGCTGGCTTGGGCTTCCTGCATCCTTTTGCCGGGAAAAACGTACCGCGCGGCAATTTGATGACGTTCCACTAAACGTAGTCTTCGGGGAGCCGGTGTCGCAAAACAGGGGTCCCAGGCTCGATTCCCCCTGCCGGCTTTTTTGCTGGCTTGGGCTTCCTGCATCCTTTTGCCGAAAATCTGGAAAAACGCAATGTTTTTGGACGTCCTCTTTGCGAAAACGCTGGAAAAACCGTGTTTTTTTGCGGGAAATACTGGGGAGCAAAGGGGAAGTGCAAGGATACATACATACATACATTACAGTACATTACATTACATGACATTACATGACATTACATACATACATACATTACATACATACATACATGCATACATGTATGTAAGCATGCATGCATGCATGCATGCATGCACACATACATACATACGTACATACATTACATGCATTACATTACTTACTTACTTACTTACTTACTTACTTACTTACTTACTTACTTACTTACTTAGTTACTTACTTACTGCATACATGCATACATACATACATGCATACATACATACGTACATGCATGCTTACAGACATACATACATACATACATACATACATACATACATACATACATACATACATACATACATACATACATACATACATACATACATACATACATACATACATACATTACATTACATACATACATACATACATACATACATACATACATACATACATACATACATACATACATACATACATACATACATACATACATACATACATACATACATACATACATACATACATACATACATACATACATACATACATACATACATACATACATACATACATACATACATACATACATTACATACATACATACATACATACATACATACATACATACATTACATACATACATACATACATACATTACATACATACATACATACATACATACATACATACATACATACATACATACATACATACATACATACATACATACATACATACATACATACATACATACATACATACATACATACATACATTACATTACATTACATTACATTACATTACATTACATTACATTACATTACATTACATTACATTACATTACATACATACATACATACATACATACATTACATTACACATACATACATACATACATACATACATACATACATACATACATACATACATACATACATACATTACATTACATACATACATTACATTACATTACATTACATTACATACATACATTACATTACATACATTACATACATACATACATACATACATTACATACATTACATACATACATACATACATACATACATACATACATACATACATACATACATACATACATACATACATACATACATACATACATACATACATACATACATACATACATACATACATACATACATACATTACATACATACATACATACATACATACATACATACATACATACATACATACATACATACATACATACATACATACATACATACATACATACATACATACACATACATACATACATACATACATACATACATACATACATACATACATACATACATACATACATACATACATACATACATACATACATACATACATACATACATACATACATACATACATACATACATACATACATACATACATACATACATACATACATACATACATACATACATACATACATACATACATACATACATACATACATACATACATACATACATACATACATACATACATACATACATTACATACATACATACATACATACATACATACATACATACATACATACATACATTACGCATACATATATACATATACATACATACATACATACATACATTACATACATACATACATACATACATACATACATACATACATACATACATACATACATACATACATACATACATACATACATACATACATACATACATACATACATACATACATACCATACATACATACATACTGTGAGAGGCGTTAATCCTAACCAAGGACTAACCCAGAATCCACGTCTCACCCGTGTCCCGACTCTCTGGCACACCCGCGAAGCGGCTCGTTGTTTTCACAGGCAGCGCACTCATTCACCGTGCGCATGTGGCTTGAGCCAAAATAGGCACGCCACTCCAACTTCCTCAAGGTGGACATGTCAACTCGCAAGACATGTCCACTCATGCAACCTCAAGCAAAAATAGCTCACTTACCAAAGCCTAATGCCTATGGCTGCAATGACAAAATCATGCATGAGAATGCCAAGATCTGCAGTCGCCCCCAGTTGCAGCCTCCAGCCGCGGCGGGGAATGCAACTCCAGAGCATTCTCATCCTTAATTGTGGGAACAGCCCCATTCTTCAAATTGCGGGGGCTCCCTATCCTATTCCACTGGGCAGTGGCCAATTCCTTATACCCTTCATCCGGCCCTGGACCTGGGCTCAGTACTGCTTCGGCTCGGCTCATCCGATCTTTCCAGCCTGGAAAGTTGCAGTCGCAGCTTCTCATTCTCAGTCTCCAGCGCCTTGTCTAGCAAGTGAACCAGCTTGCCGCTCCCATCGACGGCTAGCTTAATCCAGCTCACAAACTTCTCATTCTGCTTCTGGCTGAAGAAGACCTGATTCTGCATGGTGCCCAGCAAGGCCAAATAGTTACTGAAGAAGGCAGAATCCGAGTTGTCATACTTCTCCGCGTTGTATGCAGTGTGAATCTTATCCACGGTCTGGAAGACCTTGAGCGCCAAAGCGCTATCCACAGCGCCTCGCCCGGAAAGATTGAACACAGCCGCGTTAAGCCTGGAAAGGTGGTCAGATCGCAACGATCCCGGGGGTTTCGATTCCTTACGAATGTCGTTGAGCACCTGTTGCAAATACAACACGGCTCCCTCCGAAGTTGCCAACGGACTCGAGAAATCGTCCCTGACCAAACCTGAACTCTGCCCGCGAGCGTCATCCCGCTCCGCACTGGCCACTCTCGGTTGCTTATTCCTACTCCCGCTCCTTAGCCTTACTCACTAGGCCTTGAAGGCAACCGACTTCGACATATTCACTCCTAGATGGAGCCGAACGCGACCTTAGCGAAAATCCCGGACTGGTCACTTCATCAAGAATGGGGACCGCCTGGAGGGTTTCTCCGGCGCCCCCAGCCCGATCCTCGCCTATCGTCGACGCCACACCGCCGGTCAGCGGCTGGTCGGCCCATCGCTGCCTGGCCACGATAATGTGCTGGCATTCCGTACCCAGGTCAATGAACGCTTTGCAGGTACACTTCATAACATTCCGTCCCAAGACCAACTCCTCTGTCACAAAGACATGACCCGTCCTTGTCATGAATTTCTTGGTCCTCTGGCCTTCCCCAAGCATATTGCCGTGAAGTCGGTGCATGGCTTTGTTCCTACACTTGCGGGATACTGTCCAACCACACCACGTCATGAAAACAACAAACATGCTCATCAAGGTAGCCCGCAGGAACAGCCCCATAGTCTCCACAAGAGCAACTCCCTGCGAACCCATTTTGTCGACTAAGAGGACCGTGTTGACCGAAACACTCCCCATGACATCTTCCACAACATTGTCAATCTGGACCACACCTTTGTAACCAAGAGGGATGAGGGCAAGCATGGTTCCCCAATAAACGAGGTTCAATTGGTTGCCATGCTCAGCATGGGCCTTCTTGTTCCGGCCTTTCCGGCTCGAGAAACCAGGCCTCCGCACTTTCTTTCTGCTGCGCTTCTTGCGGTCGCCTTTGCCAGGATGCCGTCGCCCGCCCCTCTTTTTGGGCTTGCGACTGAACTGGCGAAATGCATCCTCATCCTCTGTCACGACATCATCCGAGCTGTCCTGCTCGCATGTGCCCTCTCGAGCACGGCTGCACTTATAGCACGTCAGCCGTGCTTTGACGTTCCTTCCGCCACATTGGCGGCAGTCCCAACCGCGGCCTGCAGCAAGCTCTTCCAAAGCTTCGGCCCGCGCGGACTCTCGATGCCGCCTCTCGGTGCTCCGAACATGTTCACCTGCTGGTCCTCGGCCGCTCGCGCCGGCCGACTCAGGATGTGGCCGAATGTCATCATCTTCGTCCTCATCGGAGCGCCGCATGACACTCACTCTCTTCGTATTGCGGGACCAAGGAAATTGACCCGGCACTGGAGCCGGCCTGGACTCTCCCGGACCGAAAACTCCTCCCGGTCTCCTCCATGGCGGAGTGGCCTTCGGTTTCACCACAGCTCTCACCGGTTCCACTGGCCCGGACCGACTCCTTGATCGGCTCCTGCTCTTCAGCCTCAACGGCTGGCCGCCACCACCTCGATCGTCGGGATAAAAACTGTCATCATCTCCTCCAGATTCCCCCTCTCCCGACTCCTCGATCTCAACGGACTCCTCGTCGTCGAGAGACACATATCCGGTCGGCGGTTCCGCCGGTGCCGGCAACGGCGGCGGAGCAATTTCATCATCTTCTTCCGGAACCGCGG